ATAAACTATTGAAATAACAATCATATAATAATCAACCACCAACACAATACACTAATAAACACTAAATCAACAATAATCCATTATGTATACAAATTATCCTATCTAGTTCTCATTTGATTTCTTACTTATATTTACTTGAACCATTTGTTAGCTATTTCCCCTCGTTCCTGGTTTCTAGTGCGACCGCATCGCGCAGCTACCTTATTTTTTAATAGATTACAAGATTAAAATAAAAATGTATGGTAGAAAGTAGGGCTTGGATCCAGTTTACAGAATCCGGATATATCCGGATATAAAAAGGATAACGGATATTTATTTAAAAAAGAGGATTACAAATCCAAAATCTCAAATCCGGATTTTATCCGGATTTAATAATAATTAATTATCTGCATGATATGTATAATCGATTTATGAAGCCTATTTATTAAATTGATCCATTTATGTAAGTTATTCGTTTCCCACTGTGTAAGAGCCATGCCGTGGTTTAGTAACCTGTGGGAATAACAACGTGCGATGCAAATTAATTTCCTTTTCTAGTTAGCATTGTAATCTAATTTTATAAATGGTTATTGATTATCGCATTGAAGGCTGTCATTATTATCATGGAATTTAATGATTGCATAATTGTTATTATGCAGTATTCTGTAAGCAACAGAAAATTTAGTATGCTCGTACGTTCGTAAGATTTTCGGTTGGCAAAATTTACTAAAAGTCTACTTTTTAAAAATACTTTGCCACATGTTTCTATCAGTCCAAATTAATGAGGTTTCGATGTGTTAACTAGGTATGTCATACGTATGCAATGCTTTTTTTTTCAAAAAAAAATGACATTTTCTATCAGTCCTAATCAAGCATTGTAACAAGTTTAACATAAATGTTATTCACTTATTTTAATTTTTTAGAAGTTAGTATTTTTTTGTTCAGAATTTACCGAAAGTATTCAAAATACTTTTAGTAAACAGATTTAACTAGAGATGATACAGACCATTCTAATAAAAACAACAATCCAAAATGTTCTAATAAAAAACCTTGTACTAAAACAAAATTGTGAAAAAATACCAGTTGGATTTGGCAGTATTTTTGTCAAAGACATCCATCATGAAAATAGAAAACACATGGAAATTATACTGTAATTGTGAAAGATAAAAAGGTATCAAATAGACAATGGGAATATGGACAGTTAGTTAAGTCTCAGAGTTCAACTGGTAACTTTCAAACACATTTAAATACACATGGAATTACTAAACCTGCCAAAGTTGTTAATGCAATCAAACAACCAACAATTTCTGAAATGGTTTATCGTGCTGCTGGACAAAATACCCATCAAAAAGAAGCCATCAACTATGCTTTGGTAGAATAGATAGTTACAGATTTGCAACCTTTTTATGTCTTGAAAAATGAAAGTTTTATTAAACTTATTTATACCTTAAATCTATATTACAAACTTCCATCTGATAAACATGTAAAGGCACTAATTTATCAAAGTTATAATCATTCAGTAAAAAATCTTAAATTACTTCTCGCAACAGAAATAAAAACATGTGGATTAACCTGCGGTTTATGGACTGCACATTCTAAAAGCAGATATATAGGTGTTACATGTCATTTTATTAACTCTAATTATGAATTAAAAGAAGCTTTACTTGCAATTAAATATGTTCTATATCCTTATGATGCTATAAACATTAAAGCTAAATTAGAGGAAATAATTAATGACTGAAGATTTCTGAAAAGGTAATTTCGATTACCACTAACAATGCAGTGAACATGATTAAGGCTATTAATTTAATAGGTATAGAGTGGGTTCCTTGTACAGCCCATATGCTTCAGCTTGCTATTGGTAAAGGGTTGAAGCCTGCAGAAGTTTTAATAAAATGTGCAAAAAGATTAATTAACTTTTTGACTATGCCTAAACAAAATGAGCAATTATGAAAAGCATATGAATTAGTAAAAATTTCAAAAGAAAATATTGATAACAATGAACAAGAGTTTTTGTGTGCAATATCTGATACTCCAACTCATTGAAATTCCTCGTATATTGCATGGAAATGGCTTCTTCAAATTAAATGTGCTATTAAATTAATGGAAGCAACTATGAGTGCAGATAATAATTATAATATTTGTAAAGATGCAACTTGCTTAAAATCCTTAATGATTACAGAAGAAAATGGAAAGTTCTTGAGGAATTAACTATAATTTTGGCCCCTTTTGCTGAGATTACACAATTGCTAGGAGGTAGTAATTATACTACATTTAGTTTTATGTGGCCAGCTATAATCACCTTTACTAGAAATTGTACGCCATTGTCAATGAGTATAAGTAATGAAGAACTTTATTTAACAAATATGTCAACTATTTTTGATGAAGAGAATATAGTTGATGAGGACGAAGAATTGGAAATAATTATCACGGCTAATAGAGGTAAGTTTAAACTTAGTCAACCTCAAAATACAGATAACCTAGTAGAAAAAGTAAAGGAGAGTTTATATAAAGCATTAGACTATTATTGGGATGCACCTCTTGATTGTTCTTTAATTGCAATGTTACTTGATCTGTGTTGTAAGTCAATGAAAAAATTAGATAGTTGGGAACGTGATAAGGCCATTGATCTTTTGTGAGAAAAATATGATTTACTTAGTATTGGAAATGAAAGTATTACTAGCTTAGTGAATGTAGAGCAAAGTGAGAACCAAATGAGCCTTTTTTCAATAATGTTTGGATCAGATGTAACATCAACATCAAATAAAAATGAAGTAGACGAATATCTTAAAGTAGATCAAATGCCAACTACAACTAATCCACTTAATTGGTGGAAAGATATTCAAGAAAAATTTCCGATCCTTGCCAATCCACATCAACCCCCAGTGAACGCTTATTTTCGAGTGCGGGTAATTTAATGACAGCAAAACGTACATCAATTAACACCGAAAGAATTCTTTTTCTTAAACAAAATATCGGTATTCTGGGTACTATATTTGAGCCACAGTTGAAATAATATTCATTGTGAGGGACACCAAGCACTATTCCGACTACTTTTCTTAAATAATATTATATTATAGATTTGTAGCTCCACATTATGAACATTATTGGGTCTAGTAAATAAATAAATATATAACGTATCTAGTAACTATATAGCGAACTTGTCATTCAAAATATATATTAATAGTATAAAGCTAATAATACGATACCTTTTGATGTCTAAATAACTGTAATTTTTTTTAATAATAATTTTGTCCTTGTGATCGTATTAAACCTGCCCTGAGAGAGCGAAAGGGTAAAATATAATTAATAATCAAAAATACTCATATATAGTTAAATTTAGTGATTAACTTGTGATCTAACAATATCAGTATCGTTATCGTTATTTGAAACCCGAATTAAAGTCGATGATCCGTTAAAATTCCAAAGCATTATATAGTATGAAATAAAAAAATAAAAAGGTAAAAGAAAAACGGAGAATACTTAGCTTCAAGATTGCCTGGGAATTCTGTGATTTTCGTACAAGAACTAAGTTTAAGCTCGAAACTTAAGTAATAAAAAAAAAGTTCCATCTAACCCGTACGAAGTGCAGAAGTGGTGAAATTTATTGTGAAAATGAAACTTTTAAACAAAGCATTACAACGTGGAGTAACCCTTAACAGGTCTATTCGCATAATATTTTATTTATCAGTTATATATTAAAATCCGGATACAATCCGAATTTGAAACCGGATAACCAACCGATATCCGTTTATACATCCGGTAAGAGAATTAAAACAGGATGTCTATCCGGATATCCGGTTTTATATCCGGATCCAAGCACTAGTAGAAAGAGAGAATTATTTTTTTATGACATTAATATCCTAAAATTTTAAAGACAATTTCAAACTCTAAAGAGTGACAAGATGATAACAATAGTGTTTTCCTTAATAACATTAAAATTCTATTGTATGCTATAGTAATCAGAGAAAATAATTTTAACAATTAAAAAACATAACATCGTTGTTGCTCAACTTTCCAAACTCACTTTATCGAAGTATTTCTCCGAGTCCATAATACTGATGACCCTATTTCCTAACAAGACACATTTTTGACAATCTATTTTATCGATAGAAAATTTTGCTGAATGCTTCTCGAACAAACTAATTTCCTGATAACCTGATTTTTGTCACAATTTTTAATGATAGCCCTTTTCGCCAACAAGGTCTTTTCCCTAAATCTTATTTTCCCAATAAAATCTATTTTTGACAACCTTCTCTTCGAAAATAACCTGTCACATATGTAAAATTACATTAATTAAATAGCAATTCGGGTTTTTAATTTGGACCAATTCTAAAAAGTCGCCGTGATGAAGCTTATTTTGTTGTATTTAAATTTGGTGAACATCCATCAGCAAGGAGCTTTCAATGCAATAGTTTCGAAGAAATGGATTGTCAGAAAAAAGGCTACTTTGCAGAAACCTCGATTTTTGCTAAATATGTTTACAATATTGCTACAATATTGCTACAATATAATTACAATATTGCCAATTTTATAATATGATAAATATATGTTAAACATATGTTAAAAATATTATTATCATATTTTAAAAATATTTTTTTTGTTCTA